TAGAATCCTCAAATTGTGCGTTTCATTTAAAATATATTTTATAAAATTTATTTGATATTTTTTTTAGATATTTTGGATACAGACAACAAATTTTTTCTAAAACTCTTTAAATTCCATTTAAATTCAGTTGCAAATAAAAAAAAAATTTATGAAAAAGTTTGCATATTTACTAAATTAACAAATATTCCATTGAATATTTAGATAATATGCCGAAAATGTCAGTGATGTGCGTGAAGGAAAACAGATGTTATTCACTAAACAAAACTACGCCTAGTTATACGAGCTAATTAAATTTTTTTATTCTGAATTATTAATAATTCATTATGGTAAGTAAATTCATAAACAATATGAAAATATGCAAAATATAAACATAATTACATTTAATTTTATAGAAACCAATTTAATATGTTTTCCATCTATTTGTCGCTTTCTGTGTTCTGCTTCACTTTCACTTTAGGTAATCTCTCACACACATCTATCAATGCTCATTGAGCAATGCAATAATATATATAAAATCGTACAACAAATGCAATTAGCTGAAAAACCATTTACAGCAATCAAGTAATGCAACAACAACAACAGCTACTAAACATTGTAAACAATTAACTAATTATTTAAGCTGGATTATGTAAACACTGGCCACATTTGTTTGGGGGCCGTGGCAGCCACGCTGTTTGATCTAAGCTGGCTGACCAAACATATACCAATACCAATAACAACAACAACAACAACAGCAACAATCATACTAATAAATTACAATAACAGCAGCAACAACAACAACAACTAAATCTAATGTGCAACAAAAATTCGAGCACACACAAAATGAGAGCATAAACATAAGTGAGACACGCCTCATTAATTTAAATAGATGAAGAGACGTAATACGCACACACACACATAAACACACACACACATACAGAGACGCACACTCGTACTCACTTGTGCGAGCATAACTAGCTAACACAAAATATGAAAATCATTTTGCCAAATGTCTGCACACACACACACACACACACATACACATACACAACCTCTCCTAGTCAAGAATTCGTAACTCCAGCTCCATCGTCTGGTCTTGTGAACTGACTGGCATATTGAGTGAACTGCCAGTATTTGCCCTGACTCTGTGTGTTTGTGTGTATGTGTGTGTGTGTGTGTGTGCAGGGAGAGGGGGAGTGGTTGGGGCGTGTCAGTGCCGGAGGATTGGCTGTCATGGGCAATGGCCTTGGCCGTACGTGCGTGTTAGACGCAACTTCCCGTTACAACAACAATAACTGCAGCAACTGCCAA